TTAAATTTCTTCATTCTCTTTTCACTCTCTTTTTTCCCATGAACTCTACTCCCCTCCCTTTCCCTCTCGTTCCCCTTTTTTCCCCTCTCCCTCGCTCCCCAACTCATCACATACGCGGTGAGTAAATTATTCTTCATTTTCTTCTATATTCCTCCTTTTGCTAATTTTGAAAACAAAGGGAATTTAATGTTATCTACAAATATTTGGATTTTGTTTTCAAACTTTTCAAACTATCATCGACATATTTGGTAGGAGAGAAATAATAAGAAATAATATTGATAATAATAATTTAACGACGGTATTATTATTATCATTATTATTTTTGGGAGATGGGTCGTGGCTGGGGGCAGGGGCGGGGGAAATTGTGCGAATGATGACGTCGTAAAATTATTTTTTTTGTCGATTGTGCGCAGATAGTAAGTAATTCGCTGGAAAATCCTGTGAAAGATGGCGGTGGTGATGGTGATGATGGTGACGGTGGTGATGGTGATGGTGACGGTGGTCATGGTGATGGTGACGGTGGTCATGGTGATGGTGATGGTGATTGTGACGGTGGTGATGGTGACGGTGGTCATGGTGATGGTGACGGTGGTGATGGTGATTGTGACGGTGGTCATGGTGATGGTGACGGTGGTCATGGTGATGGTGACGGTGGTCATGGTAATGGTGACGGTGGTCATGGTGATAGTGACGGTGGTGACGGTGGTGACGGTGGTGGTGATGGTGGTAGGAACAGGTTAAAACATTTTAATAGATTGTTTTCGAGTTTTGTTGCAAAAAAAAATTTAATTTCTCGATTTTTATACTCGAAAAAACCGGAAATGGAATAAGAAAAATTGAATTAAAAATAATAATAATAATAATAATAATAATAATAATAATAATAATAATAATAATAATAATAATAATAATAATAATAATAATGATACGGTAATAAAATTATTTTTTTTAATTAACTTATTAAAATACAAAAGTTTATATAAACAAGTATGAAATTACATTGATTAAAAAAAAAGAAGGGGAGGGGAGGGGGAGAGTAAAAGGAAAAAAGGAAAGAAAAGATAAAAAAAAAGGTAAAAAAAAAAAAATGTAAATCGAATCACATAAAGCTCTCGTCACTATTACTTTTATATTAAAATTAACATATTTTAAACTCAGGTACGGGAAGGAAAAAAAGAAAAAAAAAAAAGGTAATGAAAACACAAAATGATTTTAAAAAGAAGAAAAAGTAAAAAAAAAAAGTAAAAAAAAGTAAAAAAAGTAAAAAAAAGGTTTTTGAGCTTTTAAGAGTTTTTCCTTTCCCTGTTCCCTTCCCCCTCCACTTCCCCCTTCTCGTCCCCCTTTCTTCCCCCCTTTTTTTTAATTCTTTATATTTTTTTAATGAAGTAAAACTTTTTTCAAAAAAAAAAAAAAAAAAAAAGGAAAAAATTATATGGGTTTCGAAACGCAAAAAAAAAAAAAAAAATTTTTTTTTTTTGATTATTATTATTATTATTATTATTATTATTATTATTATCATCATCATCATCATCATCATCATCATCATCATCATCATCTCTATCGATTGCAATTAAAATTTTTAATAATCGAAAATTTATTTATTTATTTAAAAAAGAAAAAAAAAATGGGAAAACATCAAAAGAAAATTTTCGTGCCTTATTTCCTTCATTTTTTTAAATTATCGATACGAAGACAAAGAAAATAATTAAAAAAAAATATCAATTTGCTTTTTAAAATCTCTTATTATTATTATGATTATCATCATCATCATTATTATTATCATTATTATTATTATTATTATTATTATTATCATTATTATTATTTTTAAACCAAATTAAAATTTTATTTTTAAAAGAAAAAAAAATATATACATATACATATTACAAATTATTATCATCTAATCGATATTTTTTTCGATATATCGAATTTCGATTAAAATCGATTATATTGAGAAAAGAAAAAAAAACGTTGTTTATAAATCTGTTTATTATTATTATTATTTTTTTTTTTATTTTTTTTTTTAAATGAGAAAACGAAAATTTTTTTTTTTTTTTTTTTTTTTTTTATATTTGCTTCTTGGAATGTTGGAAATGGGAGAGGCGGAAAAAACAGAGAGGGAGAGGGGGGATGATAAGTAGGGTAAAAGAGAGAGAGATGGGAACATATGAATAGTGTAGAGAATGAGAGAGAAACGTAAAAGGAGTAAAGAAAGAGAATTATAGAGAAAGGAATAGAGAAAGAAAGATAGTTATAGAAAGAGGGAGAGAGAGAGATATATAGAGTAAGAAAGAAAGAGTTTTAGGGAAAAAGAGAGAGAGAGAAAGAAATAGAGCGTTATAGAAAGAGAGTGAGAGTGAGATAAAAGTAAAAGGAGTAAAGAGAGAGAGTTACTGAGAGAGATATAGAAAAAAAATATATATATATATAGAAAGAGAGAGGGATATATATGAAGAGAGAGAGAAAGAGAGAGAGAGAGAGAAAATAATATAAAAGGAGTGGTTTAAAAATTAAAACCGGAAATCGAAAAAGTAAAAAAAAAAAAAAAAAAAAAAAATTTTTTTTTTTTTTTTACTTTTTTCAAACTCAAACTTCTTAAAAAAAAAAAAAAAATTTTTTTTTTTTTTTTTTTTTTTAAGAAAGAAAATAAAAAGTTTTATATAAAAAAGTTTTTTTTTTGACGTGGCAGCAACGCGGCTGAGTTTTTTCGTCATCTGGCTAAACATTTTATTGTGTTCTTCGGCTCTTATTATAATTAATTAATTAATTAATTCTAGGGGAAAACTTTATTTTTTTTAATTATTACTTTCAGCGAGAAGAAAAAAAAAAAAAAATTTTTTTTTTACTTTTTTTTTTTTAAATTTTATTTTAATCCAAGTCAGACATTTTTTTTTTTTTTTTTTTTTGTATTCGAATATCGTGGCGCTAGTAAAACCTCGAATATATGTAAATAAATAATAATGATTATTGTTTTTTTTTTTTACAGATTCATCGATAGAAAATGTGAAGAAGAAAAAAAAATCATTTGAAAGAAAGAGGATTCAACATCAGAAATGGGAAAACATCCAGCGGGATAAAATCATTTTGCTCATGGGAGTAAAAAAAAACGACGAAACGAAGTGACGAAAACACAAAACGAAGAGAAAGTAATAATAATAATAATAATAAAGTGTTCCGTGAGAAACGAAAAAAAAAAAAAAAAAAAGGAAAAAAAGGAAAACAAAAAAAAAAAAAAAAAATGGGAGGAAAAATTTGATAGCGGATCGCGTTTGAGTCGGAACATCAGAGAGAATAATGTGGATCAACAAACAGTTTCTCCTGGTTGCTGCAATTTTCAAAATAATTATCAATCACGCATTTACTCATGCCCTCTACTACAGTAAGTAAACAAACAAAAATTTTTTATAAAAACAACCGGAGTCTGATATATTCTCCTGCCACGTTTTTTTTTTTTCTTTTACCTCCATTTTTTTTTTTAACAATCGTTTGCCGTTTGATTTCGTTGTAGTTTATCGTCTTTTTTTTTTTTTTTTTTTTTACAAAACCATTTAATTTATAATCATCATCATCATCATCATCGTCATTAATGTAATTATTATTATTATTATTATTATTATTATTATTATTATTATTATTATCTAGAGCAAACAATTTTCATTTATTTATTAGTTTTAATATTTATAAAAGGAAAGGAGGTACTTTAATTTTTTTCCCATTCATTTTAAATTATTGCTTCTTTTACTTTTTATATAAATTTTTCATCGTCTACTTTTCTTTCTTTCTTTCTTTCTTTTTAAAAAAAAAAGCAGAAGAAAAAAAAAGCAGAAGAAAAATTTATACTTTTTCTTTTTTCTTTTCTTTTTTTTTTTTATCCTCTTTTATTTTTCTCTTCTTGTTCTTTGATTTTATTTAAAAAGTAAAAGTAAAAGTAAAAAAAAAAAGTTAGAATGGGAAGTGAAAAACTGGAGGGGGGGGTTTCTTTTTTTCCCTACTAAAAAGATAAAAAGAGAGAGGAGGGGGGAAAGGGGGGAGAGAAGAGGAAGGGGAGGAAAAGTCTTTTCACACTTTTCTATGTAACTCTTATTTTAATTAAAAAAAATTTTTTTTTTTTTTTTTTTTTTTTTCAAAATTTACGCCGAGGCTATTTAACAACGTGTGGAGGATGAAAGAAAAAAGAAAGGATGAATGAATGAATGGTATAAAAGAAGAAGAAGAAAAAGAAAGAGAGAGAGAGAGAAAGTGTAGTGATGCGTGTTAGCATTCGTAAAAGGAGAGGGGAGGGGGGAAAGAAAACCTTTTTTTCGAATAAAAAATTATAAATTTCGTTTTTCTTTGCTCACAAAAAAAAAGGAAAAAAAAATCCCGAAGGAAAAGTTTTTCCTTTCTTTTCTTCTTATTTTTTTTTTTCTTTTTATTTTCTTTTTTATTGTTTTTAAGCCTTTTTTTTAAAATTATTATTATTATTATTATTATTATTATTATTATTATTACCAGGAGGAGGAAGAGAAGGGGAAAAAAATGGCGCGATTATTTAAAATTTTTTTTTTTTTTATAATAATAGGTTTATTGATTTGTGTGTGTTTTACAATCAAACTTTTTGTTTTCAAACAACAACGAAATTTTATTTAGATTGTTTTGAAACAATTTAAATGGAAACTTCCGGACGGAACTTCCGGTTTAGAGTCACTCTAGACGTGTTCGCGTCACCATTTAAAATTTTTTTTTTTTTTTTAATTTTTCATAAGACTCGATTACGTCAATTCGAAAAACTTTTTTCTATTTTTTATTATTATTATTATTATTATTATTTGTTTCTTCTGCTTCTTTCTCTCTCTCTCTCTCTCTTTCTCTTCTTCTTATTCTTTTCTTCAAACTTCCACTTATATATAATTTTATTTTATAACAAATCAATTTTCAAACCTGAAGGAAGAAAAAAAAA